TAGTCTTGGTGCTCATTTTCTATACTTGGATTTGCCTGGCAAAATGGCTTGTGGATTTACTTAATTCAGGTAATGGGTCTGGTTTATTTGATCTGTTACGTTGTCAGCTGTTATTTGATATACTAGCGTAGTGACAACGCTCTCGGTAGCTCTGACGGCTGTGAGTTTTACTACGGTTGTAGTAAGGGGAAAAAATACAATACAAATTGATACAAATTCAAAATGATAATTATTATCAAATATATCTAGTCTGCAGTCTGCAGTCTGCAGTCTGCGTTTGTCCGACACCGATCAACAACAACGGCAGCAGCAGTTGTATAATGGCAACAAAAACGAATCATGAATTTTCTTTGCTGGTATTCATAACACAGCCTTATGACACAACATCACATTGCATAATAGTAATTATATATWTTTTTATTATTCATAGAATCGCTAGTCAATTACAAAAGATATGGTGTCAGAGGTGTGTGGTTTAAAATCCCTATCAAAAAATCATCATTTGTACCAATTACTGTGGAGGTAAGCCATATATGGATACTTTATATACATTTTTTAAGAGAGGCATTTGCTCACTTTGTTGGTGAAACAGGTTTTGTATTTTGTTTTTAGCATGGTTTTGTGTTCCACCATTGCTTTCCATCTTACATCGTGATGACCAAGTGGCTTCCTGAAGATGAACCCAACAAGCTACCAACCTTTGCAACATGCTTTATAGGTACAAACAAGTTAATAAGAGAGAAACTTAAACAGTGTAAAAAATTTGTACCAATACTAATGTTTTGGACTTTTTATTTTTCCTGACAAAGAATTGTTAAACCTAACCTAACCCTTTGTTTAAGTTTCCTAGTCCCAGCTAGTAATGGCTAGACATTAGTAAGTATTTTAAACGCTAATAAACATTCAAAATATCATCTTTATGTTCCAGGTGTTGCTGGATTTGTTGTTAATGATGAGGGAAAATTATTGGTTGTTCAGGAAAGGTTTAGAAAATCAGATCACTGGAAACTTCCTGGAGGAATGGCAGACCATAGTAAGTATGATAAACACTAAAATCTACTGCCAACTTCCAAGAAGTTAAAATACATTCAAATCATCAAAAGAATGAGGGAAACAATCTCTTGTAGCTTTTTCTACAAATTCAACAAATCCCACTATTTTACTGGTAAAAACTAATTTCAATCCCCCCCCTCTGTCATATGTTATGAACATGCATAACAGTCAAGTGATTTCAGTAATAACAAGCTATTTTTCATCTTTAGAGGAGGATATAAGAACTGCTGGAAAGAGAGAAGTTTTAGAGGAAACTGGAATTGAAACTGAATTTGTTTCTATGGTGTGCTTTCGTCATATACCAGACTTTCGTTTCGAGTGTTCAGATTTATACTTCATCTGCTTATTAAAGCCTTTGAATAATGAAATAAAGAGGGATTCTTCAGAAATATCAGATGCAAAATGGATGGATGTAAGTATTTGATACTACCCAAGGTTCCAGAGGTCGATCACTGTAGTGCTTCTTAGTCATAGCTTTGGTCATCCATAATTAAACCTGCAACTAAGAAGCACTGGAGAGAGAGAGACTCTGGAACCCAGGGTAATTAAGTAAAGAAATGTATATTAAATTACTATCTATGAAAGTATTGGGGGAGTTCAGTAACAAGGTGTGATAATTACTTTTCTTTTTCTTCAGCTGGATGAGTTTCTGTCAAGTCCAATTGTCAACGGTTTAGATAAGTTTGTAGCTCAACAGTACAAAGACCAGAAATTAAAGATGATCCCTACAGATATGTTCATGTTTAATAGGGACATTATCTTTTATACTATGGAACTGCCTCCAGCTTGTAATAAGCTATAATGACAAGAATTTATGGAATCGCTAGGCAATAATTTCCACAATTTCTATGCTGGGAATAGTGCTTTAGTAAAATGAGTACTCTCACTGACAGTAATGCACATCAACATCAGTCTATCAAATTTTGCTTACTCTTACTGCCGCTTCAGTTTTATCTTAAAACCTACATACAATGATTTTAATGTTTTTAATGGACAGCTATTACAATAAAACCTTTTTAAGAAAACAGGACCAGGGATAGGATGAAATAATCATTTATATTTCACAAATATTTATCACAAGGTTTTAAAAATTTAATGTAATCATATTGCTGCAATAATTTTCTTATTTACAATCTCATTGAAGAATAAATAAATATCAAGAATCCAAACATCAGGTGTTTAAAAATGATTGATTAATGTAGATCATGATATTAGATGAATATTGCTCTTTGTGTGCACCTTTGAGCATGCATCCAATGGTAAGTGAACTTAGGTCTAATTATCATGTTCATACACTTGAATGCAAAACATCAGAAGGTTATGGAAGTGATGTACAACCTCCACATCAAACATGTATCCTATCCTTCTCTTAAATGAGTTCTCCTAACTAATAGTGATGCTCAAGCCTGTAGCCAAGGGTGTGAAGCAATGGCATCCTTATTTCTCTCACCATAATCATACAACAGTTCACTGTTAGGCTGTATATCTTTTGCTGCTACAAGTATAAGATAAGGTTTGTCTCTGATGGATATTAGTTTAGTTGTACAGTTGCCATTAATACTGTGGTTGAGTAATCGCCCAAGTCTTCCTGATTCTTGGGTGGCATCCACACTGAAGATAAAAAAATGTGGRAAAAAACCATTACAAACTGGGTCACAAACACAAGACACTAATCAGTTATGTATTACTTAGTAGTGACAAAAACAAAATAATGAAATAATATTATAATGTGATCTTACCAGAATTTTTTGTTTTTGAAGGTGAAGTAATACATATAGCAACCAATGTTTTCATCTTCTGAGTATTCCTTTTCTCTTTTCTTTGCAGTTTCATAATCAATATGTTCTCCATGATATTCACAAACAAAATCTCCTCTTTTGAAAGACCAGAGAGCAAATACTCCTCTTCCTTTACCTTCTACGTTCCTAACCTAAAAAATAATGCCTTCACCATCAGCCACAATATTCACAAATTTTTTCCATTGTCTTGAGCACAGACATTGTTTTTGTAATGTTCATCCTTGTTTGTTAGATTATACACTTTGAACGTTTCATGTCCTAAAGATGGATGCTTAGTCCGAAMGCTCGACAAAATAAAACATTAGGTTGAAAACACATTAATCTAAAAAAATATTTCTAGTTGTTTTCTGTAAAAGTTTTATCTAGTAAATTTTCATTTTTCAATATCAGTATACATTACATACCTCGATTCCTTCTTCTATGCCCTCAAGAACAGCCTTTTCTATTTTGGTTTGTTTTTCTTCCTAATACAAAACACAATCATAAATTAGTGTTAATTTACTAAATATTCTAAAATTTAGACAGACATCAGTTGATTTAAAAAAGTGGGAAACTTGAAGTCAAATTTGAGATGCAATAACTGCTGTAGAACCACTCCTTCTTTGCAAGCCGTAACTGGTAACCCTCTGTTTCTAATTCTCCACTGATTACAAGATTGATATGTTCATAGATACAATCACAATACAGTATGTTATTCAAGTCTACATGTTATGGCTTATTAGTACTAGTCCATTCGTTTATGTGACGAAAAACTTTGAAAGTATATCAGTTTACATGTGGACAGATGTACATGTGTTAGTTTGTCACCATGGAGACCAACACCAGGTGCTTTAATCTTTCGTGGGGTACTACATTCAGTATTGCRCAGGAATATTATCTGGAGCCCTCTGGTTTAACTGGATTGTTATGAACATAGTATAGCTACWGCCATGAATGACAAACATTGTGTCATAGGTGATACATACCTCTATCTTAGACTTGACCCTTCTTTCACTTCTTCTTACAGGAAAGTATTTTGTAATTTCAGAGTTCTTGGATTTTTCTTCTTTTATATTTCTGTTGATTGAAAAGGTATCAATAGTTGTTTTATATTTGCTTTCATCATAATCTATAATAGCCTGTTGATACCATCACAGCAAAGCTGTATATGTAGCATATATAAATAATCATCTGCATCATACACAAACATATAGGACCTTCATTTACCCTTTACTTGAGTTAGTTTTAATTTTTCTCTTGGATTTTACAGGAACTGAACCAGAATCTCTTTTTGGACTTAGTAGGGATTGCTTTAGAGGACGTTTATTGCCATCACCAGGTACTTTTTGTTCTTCAGCTACTTCAACTCGTATATCTTTGGAAGGACTTGGAGTTTTGTTTGGATTCACTGCTTTCTGTTCATCAAAGTCAATAGGTTTATCTTTTTCTCGTTCTTTATCTGTGTTTAATATAGAGTCTTCGTTGGTGCTTGTAGGCATCGAGGTATTACTGGGGGATTCTGATGAATTGTTTGTGTCTTTATTACTTGGTGAAACAGGGAAATAGTTCGGTATCTTTGAGTCAACTCCTCCCTGGCCTTCTCCATCGTCTGGTGGTGAACAAGTCTACGAAAGAACAATATTATAGCACGTTATGGGTAAATATAACCAAGCCATGATTACAAAATGCAGTGCTGAGACGATTACCTCTATATTTCCCGTTTCTTGGCTCGATTCTCTAGTTTTCTTGCTTGTATCTTTCTTTGTTTTGTTTCCTGCAAAAAGACAACTTTGTCTGTTAGACACATGATCGCGACCATGAGAAATATAACCGGAAAGGAAAAAAACAACTATCTTGCTTCATACTCTTACTTTTTCTAGGCATCATCGAAGATAATTCTTAACAACTGGGCAATGACAGAAGATGACAGAGAATAAACGAACTCAAAAATACATTTATAATAAAATGCACGTTCAACTTGAACACGGCAAAGATCCAGTTAGCTTCCAAGTCTACGAATAAACCAAGTTTGTATTTTGAAACACGAAATATTATTGGCTGTCAAAAACAATAGTAACTTCCAAGAACCAATCATAGAGGGTTTTATGGAAAAATGTTTCGTACATCGCTCGTAGGTTACGAACCAAGAATCGCTATCAGTCGGTAAAGACTCGGCAATTTACGGAAATCGAAACTTTGGTCCAGAGGTTTGCTCCTACTCCTCCTACTCTACTCTCCAGGCAGATTCAGGCAGTGATGCCATTAATGATGTTTAAAATCTTTCTTCTACGAAAATAATTTTAATTTTTTGTGCAAAGGAACTAGAAATCACTAGAAACAGGATAATTTTAGATCTAAAGATAACTCCAACTTTTTAAAATAATAATTCCAATCACCATTGTATGAATGGTGAAATTTTTTTCCTCTTTAAAAAAGGCATTCAAAACAGGAAGTACGTAGGTAGTGCTCAAATGAAAGATAAGAACAACTTAACTACGCAGGAGAACAAGAATTTTTAAATGAAATAAGCTATTCCATTCTAGAGTGAAACTTTGCCAGTGTGTAATAAGTGGGTTGAGCAGAATTTAATTAATTTTGATAATATTAGAGACTTCCACATTTTCAATGTTTTCCCTCTGTAAATAGTAATTGGCAAACTATTTTTAAGACTCTTTTTACGGTTTCAGATATTGTACTTTATATCTATTTTTGGGTAAAATGAAATATTTGTTTTGAATGATTGTTATGACGAAATTGTTACGTAAATTGCGCGGTTTGAGTATCGTGCTCAGCTGTTTCTAAATTCACTCCGTAGGCGGTGCGAAAGGAGAGCATTTTTCAATGTTTGAATAGAAATATTTTAGTCTCACTTACGAAACCATGGAAGCGATAGAAAAATTTGTTCTTTTGAAGAAAAAAAATTCCTTGTCTTAGAAAAATTTACTTGTAAGAAAACAACGAAGTTTTACTTGTAAAGAAAATATTTTGTATGACTGTATTTTTTTAATCGTAGAAACAGTTAGAACTACATCCTGTAGATTCTCCGGAAGTGTAATATTTTCTAAGGTGAACCAAGTCGTGGCTTTTTCTGATTGGTCAATCTATGATTAGCAGCTATCAATCATATCCATATTTGGGAGACAGTGACGCAACCAGCTGTTTTAGGATTTCAAAGACTTACTTTCTCTAATTAGTAAACTCGTAAAACTTATCGAAGGACGGTGGTGTAAGTTCCCGTCGCAAAAATATTTCACAATGGAGTCCCCAAACATCAACAGAGATGCTGTTTTAAAATCTTTATCTCTCAATGAGACAAACTCTGAAGGTCAGCCCAGAAAAAGGCGAAGACTTGATAATTTAACAGCTGAAGAACGAGCTCTTCGAAGGTTCGTGACTGTGAAAACCATTGATTGAAATTTACTACGAAATGAACAACAATATGCTCTTAAATGGCTTCTCTAAAGAATCCTGAATATTTTTCTTCGCTTTCTTTTGTTTGAAATATTTTTGAAATATTTTTACATTAATTTTGATTATTTTTGATTTATTTAAACAGGAAATTAAAAAACCGTGTAGCAGCACAAACTGCTCGCGACCGAAAAAAGGCGAGAATGCAAGACTTAGAAGATGCGGTCGAACGGTTAGAACGAGAGGTATTAAAAATAACCTTAACCATATTTCAATATTGTTAAATTTTGTTATAATTTAAACATTATCATTAGCCGTTTTTGTCGTTGCGAAATTATATTTTTAGACGAAAATGGTTCAGTAGTCTCTACGCCAGTCGATATTGATCCGCGTCCGTGTATAAAGTTTCACTACTATATATTTACAAACCCTCGTTATTATTCTTTTGTTTTTATTTTTAACACCTAAAATTCAGACCATTTTCCACTCGTTTTTACTCTCAAATATTGACAATGAGTCTTTCAACGGAGTTTTTCTTGCTTTATTAAGAAAATAACCCAAAGATTCCAGTTTGGCTTGGAGCGTGATTTGCATACAAGACATGAATTTACCTGTCTAGCCTTTTATTTCGAAATTAGATACTAGGGATAATATTTCACGAACTTTCAATAGCTTTTTGATAGAGGTCTTTTATTATCCCAAAGACAAAGACCCCTGATTGTATAAGGTTTTGTGATCTACCTGTAAACGCTTACAAGATCTTTGGTAGAAATCTCCTTTCTAAAGTCGAGAGTTTTCAATAGTCCTAAAAAAAGTTACTTTTTGTAAGAACTTTGATACTGTTTTTTTTTCTTTCGGAAGAACAAATTTTAGTCGACTATGGGTTTCACGGGGATCTTCTAATTACTTCGCCAAGGGCATCAAATATTCTTTTGAATAGTCTATTGAATAACACCCTGTTCTTGCTCATTTTAAATGCAAATTGTCTTCTCTCAGAACAAGGCTCTTCGAGAAAACAACAAAAGCTTACAGAAAAAAACAGACTCCCTTTCGACAGAGAACTCAGAACTGAGAATTCGCCTTGGTTTGACCCCACCAGTTTCACCAGAATCATCTTCATGTTCAGTCTCATTACCACCAAGCCCAGAACCACACAACATAGACGATTATCAAAACGACTGGGTTGTGATCAAAAAGGAAGCAGAATCTAAAGAGTTTGCAGCGCTCACAGCTTCTCAGCAGCAGAAGAATCTGATTCTGTTTCTTTTAGTGATCACGACTTGGCTAAGGATCAATACCAGGTAAAGCTTACCAGAGTCTAATAACTCCTTACCACTGTAATGTTTATTCATGAATGTTCTTTTCATTGATCAGTGAACGAGTGGGAAGAAGTGTCTCACCCACACTGTTTGAACATATGTTCTTACACTAACTCAAGCCGACATTTTATTATAGGAATAATGTGTATGAAATGGTTTATCTAAAATTTTGTTCTCATGAATTTTTAACCAATATTGTGAAATATTACAAGCTTAAATGTCAAAATTGCCATGGATAGGTGATTAGAAGTCTTAATATTGACCACAAGACAAGAAGGCTGGCATTATCATTCATACACGATGGATATTTATTTATCATAAAGACAAGGCCCAATAACGGTCCCTGATCATCAAGTGTACTCTTCCTCAAAAACAAAAAAGGCTTACAATATTGTTCCCTTTTYTTCTTTCCAGTCTCAGTTGTTTGTTGGTCTGTTTGAAGATGATGAGTCCAGTGATGATGAAAACTCTGACCTCCTCCAGCCAAAGCAAGAAGACAAGTCTATCCCATCCTGTTGTCATGGAGACACAACTACAGGAAAAACCTTCAGAATCAAGACAGTTAGAGACCAAGAGGTCCAAGCCCTCCCACAAGGAATTGATGGTTTGGTGGGGCAAGCAAGTGAATCCATTGAATCCATTGACGAGATTCTAGGTTACAAGGATCTGTCCGCAGAACTTGATAGTCTTGATGTTGAACCTGGAACCCTTGGTGACAGCGGAATTAGTGTGTGGGAGGAATCTTTCACTGATCTCTTCCCTTCCCTTCTTGCAGTTTAATTAATGATATTTATTCAAAATGTCTAATTCATAAGTTAGGCACCTGAATTTGTTAGGTTGTCGTACAGTATGAAACCATGCTTCCTCGCCAGAGGAGTTTTCAAAATTATCCCTCAAAATTGGACAAAGACAAAGCCGTAGTCTGAAAAAGCTTGTCTGAAAGAAATTCACAATAATTATTATTGCAGAAATTCTCTTGGTAAACGAGAAGAGTGAAGCTATATATTTCTAACAGAAGGAAATATCTGTTATAGTAAACAGGTTTATTTTTCTAACAAAACTTGGCCTTGTTATCTTGTCCCACTTGATAGCATACAAAAAAAGCCAACATTAAGAAACCTAGTTGGATTTGTTCTGCAACTAGGCAACCATCTACCAGTTAAATCTACTTGTGATACATAAGGAAACACCTTGTATTACATATCTTAGATTCTGATTGAATATCTTTGGATCAAGATACTGGTAGATCAGGCAGCAGTCAAGTGGGCTGCAGATTGGAATCGAATATAAATGGAAAAAAAGAGTGCTCTTCAGAAAGAAAAGACATTTGTAAATACTTACAATAGAATAGAATTAAAATCAGTAAAAGTAGAATGCTTAATTATTAATATTACATAATAAATCAAGAGCTAGGATCAGTACCATTAAATTATATTTTGAACTTGGTTGCTGGAGCTCTGTAATCCAACAAAATCATAAACCAATATAATCATTAATTGTCAATATAATCATGATTCATAATCATACAAATTAAATACAAATGATCCATAAATGGGGTCCATAAATAATCAGTGAAAGATTCCTCTTGGGTTAAAAATGAGTAAATGTTTGTGTTGTGGGAAAACGTCAATAAAGGATTTAAGGTTCAACTCTAGTATTGTGTGTGCTTTGGTGTTTTTCTGGGAAATGGGAAGATAACACATTTAATGCCAAGTGGGTTTAATAACATCAGAAGACTAAAGAAATTAGATGTAAAACAGCCTGAAAAAATGTCAAACAGGGAATTTCAAGAGAATTAGGGTTTCAGTAGTTGGGAGGGCTTAAACTTCCTTAATTGTATAATACCCAATAGCGAGCAACATATCTAGACAAACTCAACTTGATTGGGGACTTGCCTGGAATCAAAGCAATGACCTGGCCCACCCATTAACCACAGCAGGGAGGTGGAATGCTAACACTATTTCCTGGCATGGAAAGAATTCAAAGCCTAGAATATCAGATTATCTCACCAGGTCTAGTTTCTACTAAAAGCATGTCCTAAAATCTTCCATGAAATGGTAATCTATTGGAAAGGATGAATAAACTATTTCTCCCCCCTTCAATAGTGATGTCTCTCTACTTTATAACACTGAACTGATGGCTGACAGTCCTATTGAATCTATCAGAGTGTTGAGAATAGTTAACTTTTACATACATTTATTCGTTTTGTTTGTTTCTTACGATTTCCTTGACCCCATGATTTACCAGAAATTAATGATTAAA